AACTCTTTCAGCCTTTCCTCCTAAGACTTGGATTCCAGCCCTCTCACCCTCCTGGTTGCCCTCTTCTGGACATGCTCCAGCTTGTCAACATCCTTCCTCAAATGTGGTGCCCAAAACTGGACACAGGACTCCAGGTGAGGCCTGACCACAGCAGAATAGAGCGGAATGACCACCTCCCGCGATCTGGACACGATGCTTCTGTTAATGCATCCTAAGATTGCATTTGCTTTCTTCACAGCAACATCACACTGCAGGCTCATGTTTAGCTTGTGACCAACCAGAACACCCAGGTCCCTTTCACATATGCCGCTGTCAAGCCAAGTCCCTCCCATTCTAGATGTGTGCCTTTGATTTTTTTGTACCTAAGTGTAGGACTTTGCACTTCTCTCTACTGGAATTCCTTTTGTCTCAACCCCACTGTTCCAGCCTATCTAGATCATTTTGAATCCTGACTCTGTCTTCTTCAGAATTAGCGATCCCACCCACGAAGTCCACGAAGCTTATGCACATAAGGGCTTGCATGCTGAAGGTGGTGTCTTCGTGGGGGTCTCCATGAACACTGGGCACACCTTTGGGTGGGTGGGGGTACCAGAATAGGGCCTGCCCAATGGGCCAGTCACGTGCCATTTCGGCTTGGGAATCTGCCCCTCATCCACAGTCCAAGAAACAAGGAGCCGGGGGGGGGGGCGCATGTCCCTCCTCCCCTGAATGTGTTGAGTGAGGTCATCTCCCCGCCATGTGGCCATTTGCCATCTAAACGGTAGTGGGAGGTGGGGGGGAGCTTCACCCAGGACAACTGGCGACCCCGCCTTCCCTAGAGATGTGAAGGCCTTGTTTTTTCCCGAAAAATTGGAAAAATTGAAAAAAGAAAAAAAATTGATTCTGGAATGTTTTATTTTAACATGAAAAAATATTTTAGGACAAGGTGTTTAAATATTTTCCAAATCATTTCTAAAAAATACGTATGATGTCAGATTGATCTAATGTCTGTGCACTGAGGACAAGCAAGTCCTAGGTTACAAACTGAACTCTCCAATGCAAGAACAAGATGCATTTTCTTCCTTTAGGAGGTCCTATTGCCACAAGAAAAGAAAAAGGTTTCAGTTTTGTTTTTGCATGTGGGTGGGTATTCTGTTTGTAATAATTGTTTGGATACACTATATTTTTAATAGGCTAGTTGTGATCATTTCATGCCAAGTAAAAATGTCCATAGTCATATTTTATGTTCCTAAAGTAACAGAATGACTTTCAATCTGCTAAAGAAAAAAGAAGTGCTAATGTAGCGTTTTTTTTCAATTTTTCCGAAAAGGCAGGAAATTCACAAATACCTCACCCACACACACCCGCAGAGACCCGTTCCACTCCCAGAAGATGACAAAAAACCTCCATGATCTCCAGCCAAACTGGCCTGGGTTAAATTGCTTCCAGGGGCCATCAGGAGGTCCAGCAGTGGGGGCAGGACACTAAGAGCCCTCCCACTGTTGCCCCCCCCAAGCACCAAGAAGACAGAGCATCCCTTGCCCCAGACTCAGAGTTCCTCTTCTATACCTTGTGGCTAATAGCCACCGATGGACCTCTGCTCCAGATGCTTATCCAATTCCCTCTTATAAGAACACAAGAGAAGCCAATGTTGGATCAG